TACATTGGGAAACAGGAGTAACTAAATAATGGTATATTTCTCCCATTAAAATTACCTCCATAACCTTCACCAGAAATAGCATTCAAGACCAGAAGAAAATTAATGTTCAGTAATTGTTGAGTCCTTATTTAAATGTGACTTTCAAATATCTTTCCCAAGAGGAGCGCTTAAAAAGACCCATCAGGGAAGTAGTGCTAATGATCTGCCCAGGGACCTGGGCAGTGGGCTAAGAGATTCACCTCCTGTTAAGTAGGTGAAGGATCCACAAAATATTAGCTGTCACCTGAGCCGAGCGTTCATTTCAGGATAGTCGTCCTTCCGTGACTGAAATGCTATGGGAATTATCAAACAGGAGGTGGACTTTGCGGAGGTGGGGAGGGGATCCGGGGAGGAAAGGCGGGATGGTTGGGGAGTAGAAGTGATTGAGATGTGATGAGTATACACAACAATTCCCCAACAAATGTAATTATGCATCACAAATATATACTAATAAAAACTAGAAAGAAAACACAAGGAGAAATTAAATAGCATTCAGAACAACCTCCAGCCAAAGGAAGAAAACTAGTCCCAAGTCATAGACTGGGAGGCAGAGTAATCGTTTCCTCTTTAAATGCTTGGACGGGGTGTATGTGTGCACACACGTGTATATTGATATACTGTGTGTACTTGTAATTGTATGTAATTATTCTGTGTCACTGGAAAGCACAGCATATGTCTCCATGTGGTCTGTGTGTCTTGGAAGCGGCAGTCCAGGTGAGGCAGGGAGTCATTCGGGAGAGTCGTTGTTCTTGCAGCAGTTCTGGCTTCTGCTTCCCGGGGCCATTCCGCTGTGTCACCTTTCGTATGCACACTCACGGGTTGTTAATAAAGTCTCCCTCCTCACCTTGAGTGAGTGCTCCTTCAGGCACTTCACAGAGGCGCTTAAGGTACTTACGCCTTTGGTATTGGCCCTGTTGATTCATTCAGCGATCAGGGAGCAGTCTGAACAGAGACAGTGAGAAGAGAAGCAAGAGGAAGACCTGAAAATAGCAAGCCCTTCTCTTGTACCGAGGAAATCAGGCCAAATCTTTTCAGGATCAAAATCTTTGCCAGCGGTATCATCATCTTAAACAGTGAGCTAGAACTAAGCAGCTTAACCGCCATACCTAAACGTACGACTATTTCCCCTTGCTGATAGTTTTATATAAGGACAGTCTGACTTTACAGAAGCCACCGTTCATAGGCGCTGAATAATCTATTGAATACGTCTAAGATCTAAGTTCAACAGCATTGTTTGGAGAGATATTTATAAATTTGTCACCTATAAAACTTTGGTCATTTAAGGGAAGACACGTTGCAAAGGTTCAGTGAATGAGAAAATGGCTTCAGAAACATCTTCTGTACCCTGAGTATGGGGTCGCTTTGTGCAGAGCTGTCCCTTTCCTATCGCGGATCCCCTCTTAAGGCACCAACCCCAAGTGTGAAGCACAAAGGCTTTTTCTTTAGTAAGAAGGGATAAAGGAATCCTTTCAGGTCAGGTGGGTGCTTCCAGTGTTTCTTATGTGTTGTGGAGAGATCAGATCGGTGTGAAGCTAGAGTTCAAGAGTGATCTCCCACTTCTCTTACACGAATGGCACCAGTGATCACAACAAACGACCTCAATTTTCTGAGGAGGCAGTGTGGTCATGATGATGGGGAGCTTGTAAGAAGTCAGGGGATCTGCAGAGGAGCTTTCTTATATCAGCTCTAAATGGCTTGTGATGCAAAATCAACTCATACTTCTACAGAACCAGATTTTGTGGTAGTCTATGATCTTAATTAACTTCAGAGGCCCCATTTCAGTCCTCATCAAAGATGTCTAAAATAGGCTTGCGGTAACTTTACGCACCACCTCATTTATTTCATTTTTCTACAGCCAGATTTTTGTCTGCTAACACTTTCTAAACTCACAAGACTGTTCTTCACCAAACTGGAGTTGAGTTCCTCCGAGTTCTCCTTTTGGCTTAACTTTCTTCATCGAGTTTCAGCAGAAATCTTGCTGGGTCAGTTTGGAGAATCCCTCACTTTCCATAAACTTTTATAATTAATTTTATTGGTATATTTTTGATATACATAATGATCACATTCACCATAGCAAATTTGTACCCGTACATGATATGTCTAGATTCTTTTTCTCTATTTCCCACCATTCCTTTCAACCCTGCTCCCCTCATTTACAAAGCTTTGCTTAAATTTTTTCCTCCTATTCTCTTTTTTCCTTTTTCCTTCATTTCCACTCTATCCTCCCTTGTTCTCTTTCCAATTTGAATATTTTCTTCCTACTTCCCAATGTCTATCATCCAGTTTGCTCTTTATTTACATGTTCAGTTTCTCACACAAGGGGAGCATTGCTATGTTTACACGAGTGTGTCTAATTTATTTCACTTAAAAGTCTGGTCTCAAGGTACATCCATTTGCCTAAAATTGTCTCACTTTTAGCCTTTATGCAGCATAATATTTCATTATAAAGAAAAACCACGTTTTCTTTATCCACTCATCCATTGATGGACATTTAGACTGTTTCTAATATTTAGCTATTACAAATTGTGCTGCTATAAACATGGGTGTCTGTATAGCTCTGTGGTATGATGGTTTTAACTCTTTCAGGAAGATACCAAGAGGGGCACGGGTTGGGTCAAATGGAACCTGCAGTTTTAGTTTTTTGAGGGATCTTCACACTGATTTCCACAGTGGTTGCACCAGTCTACACTCCCATCAGCAATGGAGAAGGGTTCCTTTTTCCCACATCACCTCCAGAACTTGTTATTGGTTGATTTCTTCATGATAGCCACTCTTTCTAGAGCGAGATGGAATCTCAGTGTTGTTATAATTGACATTTCTTGAATGACTAGTCATGTTGAACATTTTTTCATATATTTATTTCCTGTTTGCATTTCTTCATATGAGAAGTATCTATTCATTTCAGATGCCAATTTTTGACTGGATTTTTAAATTTGAGGTATCTGATTTCTTTGAGTTCATTATACATTCTAGATATTAGTCCTTTGAGCAATAGCTGGTACAATTTTTTTCACATCCAATAAATTGTCTCTTCACTCTATTTATAATTTCTTTTGTTGCCGGAGAAATTTTTAATATGTTGAGATTCTAGTTGCTGATTCTTTGTAATATTTCCTGTGGCACTGGGGTTTTGTTTGAAAAGTCTTTGCCTATACCTATGTCTTCAATAATTTTACAATTTTACCTTCCAGCACATTAAGTGTTTCTTTTTCAGCATTTAGAGCTTTAGTCCATTTCAATTGCATTTAGGGTATGATGAGAGATTTCGGTTTAAACTTCAACAAGCGGAAAGCCAGTTTTTCCAGTACCATTTACTACCAAGGCTATCTTTCTTCCACCGAAGGTGTTTGGCTCCTTTGTCAAAGATGAGATAGTGAAGTGTGTTTGGTGTTGTTTCAGCATCTTCTATTCTGTTCCATTGATCTTTGGGTTTTTTTTTTGTTTGTTTGTTTTTGTAAGTACCATGCTGTTTTAATCATGTTAATTTTGTAATATGATTTCAAATTTGGGATTATAATTAGCCTTGCCTTGCATTTATTGCTTTTACAATTGCTTTTGCTATTCTAGGTCTCTTCTGTTTCCATATGAATTTTAGGAGTATTTTCTTTAGTTCTGTGAAGTATGCTATTGGTGCTTTGATGGGGATTTTATTAAATCTGTATAACAGTTTGGAAGTATGGCAATTCTCTCTATATTGGTTCTGCTTTTCCAAGAACAGAGGATATCTTTCCATTTTCTGATATCTTTGCTCTTCTTCAGAGTACTGTAATTTTCAGTGTATAGGTCTTTCACTTCCTTTGTTAGATCCATTTCTTAGTTTTTAGCAACAGTACTGTTGAATAGGTCTCCAAGAATCCCCCCAGCTTTGGTATTTCTTCTCTGGAGTTTTATATCTAAAGACATTCTATTCTGCTGCTTAGCTATAGATCTCTACTTGTCCATGCTATATTTAGAGTTAAGCCTGATCTCTCTTCCCTACTGCAGAATCACCACTGCTGTTCTCTACTTGAAGAATATAACATCTTAACATCTTTAACAGGGGCATGGATAATTTTTTTCTTTACAAATCAAGGCCAAAAGGAGTTAAGTATATGTAAGAGCCCATATTGTTGTCAGAGGAGGCTAAGAAGACATGTGCTTAATGTTATTAAACACTGAAATTCTTTTATATACTAGGTCACCCTAAAGACTTATTTTTAATTTTATAAAAAATACAAGTTCATAATCTAAGAGAATAACAATAGTTATTCCACTGTGCATCATTAAAATATTTCTTTACATAAAACATGATAATGTTGAATTTTCCTTGAGCATGGTGCTTCAGAAAACAGTGAAAAAAATTTTATAAGAATTTCTGTGGATTTATTTTTCTCATCCATCACAAGCTTCACAGTTAAGAACTTTATAACAAAACACAGGTTCATAAAAGGAAATATACAAATAAATTTAATATAAGTTTTATGCAACATGAGAGTCATCAGAAGTGAAGACCCAAAAAACCAGGGAAATCTCTCTGTAGTGTTTTCATGCTAAATTTTGATTAGGGAACATTTATGCAGAAGAAACACAATTAGAAATATGGAATGATAACAGTAATAACTTGGGCATGGGGGTACTTAGTAAGACCTATTTGTTGAGATTGTTTTTTATTGATATATTTGTGGGTTTTTTCCTGTTTTTTTTTGTTGTTGTTTGTTTGTTTTGTTTTTTGTCTTCTTGTGACAGTTTCCCTATGCAGTTCAGGCTGACTTTGTAGCCTAGGCTGGTCTCGAACTCACAACGATCCCCCTGCCTCAGCCTCCCGAGTACTGGGATTACAGGCCTGTGCCATCATGCCTGGCTCTCTTGATATATTTGTGTCTTCAGAAATAAGGTTTTCTATTTCCTCCAGGTACCTGGAGGATACTTCTAGAATAAAGCTTTTATGACCTCATTTTGGAAGGTACAAGAATTCTGCCACGGCTTGCTTCAGTATGGAATGTCAGGAAAACGTCAGAGAGATTGTCCCGTTTCAGCAATTTTGTTAAAATGCTAAGGTACCAAATTTGTGTTTGCTTTTCATGAAACATCATCCTACACATTGTTGTGTTCAGGGAAATGGTTTATTGTGAAGAAACAGCTGTCCCCACATAACTGAGATGTAACTCACTGCTGCCCCTTTACTTACCTGGCACAAGACCTGACACAGAACTTCCAAATTCCCATTCTTTACCTCATAAACGATTAGCTGATCTTGTCCCCACTGATTACTGGCAATGTTGTACTTGTTCACCAAATTTTGGATAGGTTTTCTCCTTCCCTTAGCCTTTTATCTCTCTCGCACTGCCATACCCTTTAGGGCTAGTCAGCATATAGCCTCTGAAAAATAGAAATGCTGGCTAACCTCAGGATACAGCTTTGTATGATTCCTATTCAGTCCTAGCATCCTTTGATCCTGTGAGTTCACACCTGGTTCTCTTTAGCTTTACTCATTCCTTTCTATAAAGAATCTCGTTTTGCCTAATACTGAGAGGTCTATACCTCTATGTCACATAATTCTTCCAAATGCAGCACCCCCCGATTTCAGTAATCAGAATTCAGTAGATTTCTAATTAAATCTAGTGGGTTTTTTTTTGTTTTATTTGAGAACAGTGTACAAGTGTTTTCTAGAAATAACTTTTATTTTTATTATGATCCATTAGGGAGACTGCTTTTCTCTCCATGTCACGTGAAAATTAAATGCCTCTTTGACACATCAGTTGGTCTGTGTTGCTGTGGAGAGAGGAGAGTACTGTGTAGTTTGGGTTTGATTTGCTTGTTACTTGTAATGGGAAAAACTACTGAAGCAAACCAGGCAGAGCAAGAACTTATGCTACTCAACTGCTCTCTGAAAGAGTGCTCAGAAATTTGGAAAACTAGGCAAAATTCTAGCTAGAAATAGGCACACTACGTGGAAAACTTCTAAAGTTTTTGAACACCTAAAATTTACCCAGAATCGGGAGATGACTGCATGATCACATTGCTGGCTGTGAGAAGGGATGAGATTCTATTAAGAGAGGAGGAAAGCAATGTTACTCATTCCCATTGCGCAGAATGAGGAATTCTCAAAAGAGAAATGGACACAAAAGTACCTCCTGCGAGAGATGCCAAGTTCTGGTAAGTTTTACAGTAGTGAGCTTTCATTTGCAATTGTCCTCATTAAACAGCAAGAGTCTTTGAGTTATTGCTTGGGGCAATACTAAGAAAAAATACTCAAGCGGACACGATGTGCAAGTCCACACTGAGTTGGATCATTGATTCAGTCACTATATGAACTGAATATGCTTTGTGTTTTACTACAGTTACTGCCTAGGAGAAACATATTTGCACTAAGCTATCGTCCTTGAATTTTTAGTCAACACATTAAATCCGAGGGCTTGACTGCTTTTGCTACCGGCCTGCCTACAGAGTACACAGAGGAACATGGGTAGAATATCCAGTATGCCTGGAGCAAGACGCTGATTACCTCACAGTTAGAAGCAAAAAAACTCTAGATACTTCAGAGAGCAAAAAGACTGGCTTTGACTCATTAGGGGAAAGTGGTAATGAGGAGATTTCTTCCCCTCTTTTAAAGTCAGGCTTTGCCGTACATTATTTTCTGTCTTTATCTATGGGTTTTGGCCTATTATAATACTTTCTGTGTTTGATAGAGTGGTGACCCTTAACAGAAATGTATTTATTACTTTTGTCTCTTATTGAATGTCATTTTGTGTCTGAAAATAAATGGTGCTGTTTGTAACGTAGAATTTCGGTGATCTTCATATATTCTTCTTCATGATTTTAGTATATACATTTCCTTTTATTTTACTATTTATAAAGTCATTACCAATCAAACCAGTTGGAACATAACTGGAAAAGGCTGACGTTTTCTATCTAAAGACTCATTCAGATTGTCCTAATTACACACAGTTTAAATATATAGCACTCAATCTGCCATCTTTGAAATGGTGCCAGATTTTATCTAGTTCCCTGCTTATTGCTACACTTATTTCGGAACATGGCATTAGAAAGGGCCACTGGGAACATAACTTGAACACAAACCTCCCTCAGTAGAAGCTTCCTGTCCGTCTTGCAGGTCTCTGTTCAGTAATTTTACATAAATACAGCTTCGCTGATTAATGCACAGCTCTTTAATGATAGCTCGGACAGAGTGCAAACAAAATTGTCATCTGGAAGTGTAGGCTTAACTTTTGATCCTCCTGATGTACTTCTTAGGTCACAATCTAAATTCTACCCAAAATCTTAAATAATTTAAGTGATAATTTGAGAGGGTAAATCTGAATTTTTTCTATGCACAGTTTTACTGAGACATATCTCAGTGTAATATTTCTTTAATAGTCCTTGGTTTTGCTCCTCATAATATCACTGCTTTTCCATAGTCCAGTATCTGCGGTATAAAACATAAAGTTTGCTTGAATTTTTAAAAGCAGGCATGTTGCATTGATTTTGAGTTGATGGATTTTAAGATTCCTTTGGAAAAATTATAAATATTTTATTACTAACGTCTACCATTTCACAGACACCAAACAGCTGCGATAGGAAAAAATCTTGTATTTTATGCCTTAGGGATAAAGCCATGACTGATTTATTATATAAAAATAATTTACAACATGTGTTATGTTGGATGGGCCTTTCATCTGTTTAGACTGAAATCACCAAATATGTTAGGCTGAACGTCTTCTAAACGGTAGAAATGTGATGCTCACACTTTTAGGGGTTGTGAGGTCTAAGATCAAAGCACAACAGACTCGGTGAGGGCCTGTTCTCCTTCTTTCTGTGTTCTCAAATAAGAAAGCATCAAGGGAGTCCTTTACAGCATTGTTTATAAGGGCACTGATCATCTCCTAAATCCTTACTTCTTAACACTACTGCATTGGGTTTTGAAATATGAATACTGGGTGAACGTCAACATTCAGACCAAGTAGGCTTGCAACAAAAGCTCTGCCATTTCTCAAAAACAGACGTGATGTTGCTTCTGGGCATAATTAGATAGTTTCTTTTCAGAATTTAACATTTTCATTTATTTTCTATCTGCTTTATTAAAATATTAAAATTAAAAAGAAGTATTGAATATTTATAAAGTATATTTCTTGTAGTTACTTCCATTTTCTAAACTCTCAAGAGTGTTGGTTCCTTCAGTTGGTTTCTGCTGTCCCTTTCTTTGGGTTAGTATCTTCTGGTCCCCCATAAACCTTTCAGACTTGCCAGAGCACTTTCTCTCTCTCTCATTTCTCTATGAATATCAACCTCCCACATGAAATTCCTCCATCTTTTTGCAACAGGCAAGAAATGTAAGCCCATTCATGCTAATAGCAATTCTAAAATGTGGCATAAAATCTCTTGAACATCTGTACCAGGGAGAGGAGCTGTATAGTCACTGTGGTTTCTCAGCTAGTTTGGCGTAAGTGTCCACCTTGTACTGACTTTAGGACACAAATAGGTGTGCAAGACGTATTACATTTTAAAGTTTTGTCTATGACTCAACATGACTTTGACTCTAAGCCTTCATCTTACACGCTAGTAAAGTACTTAAATTTTGTTATGCTTTGGTCATTCTTCCATCTCCAGAGATGATGTGGTTTAAACCAATGCCAGCAATTCGTACTGAGGGGAAGCAGCTCATGCCATCAGACTGCAGGCTTTGTCTCTTCTGCACATCCACTTAGACCCAGATTCTCTCAGGATACAGATTTTTGTCATAAGGCTTGGTACTCCAACGTGTGTGTTCTACCTTTTTAGAAACACCACACGGGTTTTTCTCTTTGTCTTCTTGAATTTCTGCCAGGGAGCAAGGCTGGATTTGTGTTGACCTTAGAATCAGCGTTCCTCTCCTGTGCCATGCTGAAACCCCGGTCTGTTTATTGCATGTAAAATTCTGGAAATCTTGTGTGCAAGATCTGTTGAGCAGTAGTTTCTTAGATTTCAGAACCTTCCCTACTGGAACAAAGGGAAAATGCAGAGAGAAATAGGGCAAGGCTATCTGCATCTGAAAGACACATTCAAACTCACATGAAACAAAACATTTTGCTTATTTTTCTTGAATGAAAACTGTGCAGGAAACAGACCTCCCAAGCACTGAGAATCTTCTCCCAGCTACCGAGAGTGATCTCTACAGATAGTCCTTAGCAGTCCAATTCTTGTAGGAATTTCGCTCAGCTCAGGAGAGCCATGTTGCTCCAAGTCACCCTCCTTTGCAGGGCTCTCTGCAGTCAACTCAGGAACTCATTTAAACTCAGCCCCCTAGATCTGACTCAGGCCAAACTTGAGGGCTGGCTTAGCTTTAAAACTTTTAGGGGTCGATCAAATCCTTTCTATGATTAGATACTGGCCAAGTCCTCGCCATACATTTCACGTAGATATTGATCCTGAAAATGTTCTTCATTGAAATTTCTGCAGGCTCATCTCTTAGTCCTCTTTAAGGCAACAAACTAGGTCCTGCAGAGTTGGTTTACATATTTCCTGCTGTTCAAAGGTAAAGAATATCAAAACACACTAGACCTGATACAATGAGCTCAGGTAATTGAATTTTTTTTTTTTAAATTTGCAGGACACAGGCAAAATAAAGGAAGACTTTGTTAGAGAGAGCAGATGGCAAGCAAGAGGAATGGCCAACATCTGGGCAGTGAGAGACCCATGAGGGAAGAGGGCAAATGAGAAAAGAAGAATAACACATAAACCTAGTAGTAGGTAGGTGTGTGTGTGTGTGTGTGTGTGTGTGTGTGTGTGTGTGTGTGTGTGTGTATGTTTAGTTAGAGGAGAAAACTTGAGGGACTTTTTCTAATTCAAGGAGCAAACAAATTTTGCTTACTGGTCCTTATAGAGAGAGATCAAAGGACAAAACGAGCTGCCTGGCGAGCATGCATGGGACTGACTTAGGGTAGCTCAACAGAGCTGAGTGGAATAGAGTTTCTGTACTGGCAGAGGTGAATGGTTTAGTCAATGTTATTTTCTTGCATTGAATTCTTTGTGTCCAAATTTATTTTTCCACAAAACTTCTTACTGTCCTTCCCATTGCACCTGACAGTTAAGGTGTGCTGTCAACTTGAGTGGGTTGGGAGCTGCCCAGGGGATTAATAAAGCACATGTCTGAGTGTGTCGGGTGAGTCATGAAAATGTGATCTGGGGGTCTATATCTGGTCCTTTGTCTGCTTACTCTCTGGAACTGTTGTTCTGCTCTGCATTCCCATTGTCATTAAGGAAGCATCATTGTTCCACCATGATCTTCTGCATGGTGATTCTTCCTTCAAGCTAGCCATCCATGGACTGACTCTCCTGAAACTGTGAACAAAATTAAATCTCTTCTCCTTAAAGTTATGGGTGTCGGGTATTGTGTCCTGGTGAGGGGCAAACTGGCTAATACAAGAAACTGGTTAAAGAGAAGTGGGGCCATTGCTTTGACTATAACTGTGTTTCAGAAGCCTTTGGAGCAGGTTTGGTGGAAGAGTTTGTAAAAGTTTGTAAATGTGGGCTAGAGAAGCCCTAAAATACTGCAAACAGATCATCACGGATGGTTCTGTTCAGATCTCAGGTCAGAATGCTGACAGGATTCCAGACCTTGAAGACCATGTGTTATGTCTTATGTCTAGATGTCCCGCTAAAGCCTCACGCATTCAGAGGAGGGGCTTTTAGGAGTGTGATGGTCTTGGGTGTGACACTGGATCAGAGTTGTGGGATACTGGGTCAGTGCACTGATGGGTGTGACATTGGGAGTTAAAGCCTGTCCCCGTGCATGTGGTCAGGAAGGGGGTATGAATATATCCTTTTCCTTCTTTGATGGCTCTTCTTCCTTCCTGCCATGCCATGATCTCTATCTCTTCTGCCATACCCATCTGCCTTGTCATCCTGCCTGAGAGCCAGAAGATTAAAAATTGATACCTCTACAACTGTAAGTCAAAATAAAGTTCTCCTCCTCTAACTTGCAGGTGTCAGGATATTTTGTCTCAGCACTGAGGAAGAATATAAGACGCCATGATTAAGGAGGTTTCAGTTTGCAATGAAGACTCCATCTATAGTTGCATTAGAGGCCATGTATGTTTCACTCTAGGGAACATCTTGTCTATATTTTGCCCATTTCTAAGACTTTGTGTGAAACTTAGATTGAGAGTTGTGGACTAACTGATCTGGTGGAGAAAATTTCAAGGCAGCACAGCATTTAGGCTGTTGCACAAGTCCTCAGGCTGCTTTGGGCCAGATTTATAGTGAGGATAAGGTGCACAAAACAAAACAGAAAAATTTGCAAAACTTAAATTTTGGCTCATAAGGAGCCATTTGTAAATTTGAGGCCAAAGAAGGGGTGATTGATGAAGGGATTACTATGGTTAAAAGGAAAACAGTACTTTGTAAAAGGGATAAGAGAAAGATGACTTGAAGACACATCAGGAACTAGTAAGACACCACCCATTTCAGGCTCCAAAGTACCAAATGGTGACTCTTTCATTTCAGAAGACAGTCCTAGGTTCCCTGCTCATGAAGGATCACCCAGGGAACTGACTCTTCTGGATTCATTTCAGCATGCTTAACCATCCAGACACTCAGCAGCTGCTGCTGCCATTGTCCAGGAGGTTCAGTTACTGTGCTCTCTGGCAGCAGATTTTGGCATTATCTATGTGATTTTGGTTTTATTGGTGTGCAGAATAGAAGAGCTTGAGATCCCTGGATTTTCCACACATTTCAAAGGAAGGTCTGGGAGGCCAGGTAGGAAGCTACCGAGAGGGAGATGGGTGAAGCTGTAGGAATGGATCTGAAGATGTAGTGGGGATACCAGGAAGTCAGAAATACCAGAAGCATGTGCTAAGGAAAGCTGTAGGCAGTGAGCAAGAGAGGTTCTGTATGGGCTTTAACCAACAGGACCATACAGATGGGACTACCCTATCCCTTTGGAACTCATATCTTTCTACGCTCTTGCATGAGTGCTGAATATGAAGCTGCAGGACTTACTGTTTGCCCTGATAGATTTCAGTCTTGATTTAGTCTTATTCTTTTCTCCCTCCACCCCATTCTTCCTTTTTGGAGTGGAAATATTAAAACTGTGCCATTTTATAGTGGAATTATGTACCTCGCTCTTGAATTTTACAAAGATTCACAGCTATGAGTTTGTCTTGAGTCTCAGAGACAGACTTGATCTTTTCAACAATTCTAGAGCTGTTGGGACTTTGCAGAAGGGACTGTTACATTCTTGGTGGGTATAATATGTTAGGTGGAACTATTGGCCTATTGTTGTGTTCATTTTGAGATTAAATGCTGTTTGAGAAGATGTGTTCAGGTGTCAGGCTGACAAGGGCTGGGATGTGATGTTTACTGTGGATTATTAACTCGATTGGTGTGGGAGTCACCCGGGGGATTACTAAAACTCGTCTTGGTGTTTCTGGGTGGGTCTTTGAGGCATGACCTCAGAGTGTGCATCTGGTCCCTCTCCCTTTCCTCTCCGGCTCTGTTCCCCACACTTCTTTCCCTCTGCTATGAACTAAGTAGTTTCGCTGTGCCGTGACTTTCTGCCATCATATTTTGACCTTGGAACCAGTTGACCATAAAATGAGTCCCCATAAACCATGAGTCAAATTAAATCTTTCTTCCTTTAAATTTTGGGTGTTGGGAGCTTCCATTCCTTTTGGAGGAGCTCCAGTCTTCACCTTCAGCTTGGACTTGTCTCCTGGCTTCTAGTGCAGACTCTTCGGCTTCCATCTTGGATCCTTCAGCCTTCCGTCGCAGACTCATTGGCCTCCTGGTATGGACTTGCACAGAACTCTGCAGTGAACTCCAGACCCTGGACTGATTCCTTCGGTCTTCAGTGTGCAGATGCCCTCTGCACACTTCCCCATACAACTCTCTGGCTGACCATCATAAGCCAATCTTGTAATTTCTTATACATTTGTACATCTTGTGTTATATCTATTTCTCCAGTAAAACCCTGACTAATACAGGGGGTAAGTCATAACAACAACAACAAAAAATTGTGGGTGTTGGGTGTTTTGTCCCAGCAGCAGCAGACCTGACTGAAGCTAGGCCATTTTGAATGTCTCCTTAACATTGATGCTGTTATTAAATACTTTCTGAATTCTAAACCCAGAACTCTTTTAGTTTTGCTTCTACTCCATGTACTCTGACCTATTCTCCCATCACTATCCCTTGATTGCCTACTTGACTGATGTCTTTTGCATTCTCCCCTTGAAAAGTCTTACAGCTAGAATGGACTTTTACTGGTTCTGTGTATGGAATGTGCTAGCGCAGTCTTTGTTTTAGGCAAATGGAGTGGATGGAGAACAGGGGCTCGGTTGATGGGTCTGGGCGTGGCTGTTGAATGTGGTAACAAAAGTACCTGTAGGAAGATAATATCTGTCAACAGAGTGCCAGTCTCATTGAAAGGGTTCTTCCAATACAAAACGTGAAATAAAATAAAAACCATATCGGAAAATTAAGGTTGGAAAAAAACTGCACAAGATCAGATTTTAGAAGTTTGCATTGCTAAACATCCCAGTGCTATATCTGATGTGTTCTTAGAAATATCAGGGTCAGTACAAAAATCCTCTTCAGAAAAGTCCTTGCTGACACTCACAGTTCTTAAAGTCCTGCTGCCTGGGTTGTGGGAACGATGTCTGTCTGATGGAGCCTGGGAAGTGGGATAGCCTGAATTACAGCGGGGAGGACATAGCTTTCTTCACACAGTTCCCAGTGGCAAGGTAACCTTTTTATAAAAATAAACTGGTTGGTGTACCAGAATCTCCAAGCAACGTTTTTTCCAATCCTCTTCTTGGGTCAATAAATGTGTTGCTATTGTCTATTTTATGATGGCTTCCATGTTTGCCGGCAAGTTGCCTAGAACAAAGGTTAATGATACAATGTCAGATACTTGCTGTAAATCTTTCTGAAATTCCAGTCCTTCAGCTCCACTTGTACCCTGTGCATACCTTCCCCTACTTTTGGGTTATTCCACCAGCACATTCAATTCAGAGTCATTCCACCAGCATGTTCAAATTCCTCCTTCTCTCCTTTTAGATCTTCTGCATGCCCATGTTTCAAAAAGACACTAGAGCATTGTTTTCCAATTACTTAAACTCAGGCAATGTTGATTTATTTTCATTTTGGAGATTTGTTTTCTTCCAAGATTTTTAATATAAATTTTTTCTTAAAAGCATCCTCCAAACTATACTTCTAATAAATTAACCCATTTAAGACAGGTAGCAAGTTTTTTCATAAAGGGTAAAATTTCTCCTTCAAGACTTGACTTCTATTATGGAAAAGAATTTGAATGTGGCATAGTCTGGTGGGAGATTTTCTAATGAAATAGAGTGCCAGGAACTTCACAGCATTCCCTGGAGCCTACAAACTCCTGGGTATCAGAAGAGTACCAGACAGAGAATCCTGAAAATGAAAAAATAGGAGGAATTAGCAGAGAGGAGATCGAGAATATGTTAGGAAAGCAGAACTTGAAAAAGCTGTTCTGCTTAAACTACTGCTAAGGAATAAGTACAGTATCCAAGGAGTGGATTTTGGTTAATTACATCAGAAGGCTTTTATAAGGGGAGAAACATAAAGGAATAAATGTGTCCGCACATCCCTCAATCAGAATGACTCTGACGAGCTGTTAGAACTACTGTAGCTTTAAAATTTGTCTTATTATTAGTTCAACACTCACCATTATTTAATAGTTAGGAGGTGTTGAATTCAACAACTAACTTGGCATATAGTTTGAACACAATAAAATACGGTTATTATTATTTTATGGACTTATTTTATAGCTTCATCTTTTTATTCACTTGAGTAATTTTTAAATTAATTTGATTAAATTTGAAAAAAATTCATCACTGATACATTCAAATTAATTGGTGCACTTTTACATTAAGCAAGGAAGTCTTATAATCAAGCAAGGCCAAAAACAGAAGGGGAGGAGACACTATGAAATAACTGGACTGGAAATGTATAAAATACATAGAGATGAATTATTTACTAAATTGGCAGTGTTTCTGAGAAAATCCATATTACAGCACAGAGCATTTTCAATATTTGAAAGCCCCTAAAGTTTTTGCACAACCACTTTTTCAGTGCTATATTTGGTACCCTCTCTTGAACTTACAGTTCCACATGGTGCCACTGGATGTGTGTCTGATAGGTGGGGAGCTCTGAACATCTAAAGGAGAGATTTTAAGTAGCACAATATGCTGTTCACGTCTCAGAAGGACTTGACCTGGTGGTCCAGTCTAAATGGAAGAGAGGCAAATGACTTAATGACTCATCATCCATGCAGGAGCAGAGGAGAGACATTTTAGTGACCACGAGGAAGTCTCCCTCCTCTGCCA